CTATGAATCTATGAATCTATGACTCCAGGGTCAATAAATCTGTCTTGTAGTCAACTTTGTTCACATACTGTTTTTAAGAACAGAAAAATCCAGAACTCAGAATTATATACAAAATAAGACTAAAACCAAGATTAAAAAAATAAATACTTAAATACTGTCCTAAGACTGTTTATACTCAGTAGCTGTATTTTTCTTGTGGAAATTGATTTAATTTTTGAATATGTTAGAGTCTGATCATCTGCAGAGCTAGCAACAGAAATTATACATAAACCGATATCAGTAATTGGAAACTGGTTCAAAACTGTAACACAACAGAAGTTCAATGTACATGGGGTTCAGACAGAAGTGACAATTTTTGTTCAATCTGGCTGCAGGAAGTGGCCTACAGCCATGACCAAACCCAAGTGCACAGATGCAGACAGCTTAAAAATGGTTGATCAGATGAAAATCTGAACCCTCGTTGCATGAGGGTTCAGATGAAGATGTTTCAAAACAGAGCATCTGCTGTGACTTTTGTCTGCACTGCCTACACTGTTGCTGTTTTCGGAATGGGAGGGGGGGAAAGGGAGTAGAGGGTGTTTGGTCTGGGGTTTTTTCAGCCCCTGCTGGAGGGTGGGGAGGGTTTATTAGAGCCCTGCCAAGGTGGTGGGGCTCCAATTTACCCATCCCACCCTCCAGCACCAGCTGAGGAGCCCCTAGAATGAGCTCTCTCTCTCTTCCTCCCATCCCATTCTGAAAAGTTTGCAGCCTCACAGTGAGGAGGGGCCAGTGCTAGGGCTGCAGGCTCACAGCCAGCAGGTAGATTCCTCCGCCCCTGGAACCACCAGTGAACTTCTGTTTTCTCCAGGGGACCATTTTAACTCAGAACACTTCTTAATCTACTGCTGGTCATACTACAGCAAAAATTAAGATTAAGAAAATGGTAGAAGCGCATTAAGAAAGCATCTCTCATGGTTATAGGTTGTAACCATGTTGGTCTAAGGACATAGACAGACAAGGTTCTTTGGGTAAGTCTGATATCTTTTATTAGACCTAGAAAGCATCTAGTACTAATACCAGCTCCAATGAAGCAAAGGGTCACATATCTTAAAACTGCTCTTACTCTTTCTTAATAAGATTAGGGAGATGATGCCACAAATATGTCCACTTTTTCAGTACCATTGGTGGATCCCAATTTCCCTCTATTCCTCAGCTAGTAATGCAGCCATTCTTTTATCCTCATCTTGGGGGAAAAGTGGATCAAAAACTTAAGGCAGAACTCTCCTTTTTTCCCCCTCACTCCAAATTAAGAAAATACTGTCTACAAATTCAGCAAAAATATTTCTGGAACTAGTTAGAAAAATCGTATTCCTTAACAAGGGAAACATGGATACTATGCCTCAACTATACTGAAGGAAAATGGAATGTTAAAAAAAAAATCAATAAGAAGGGGAGAAAAAGAAGCCAACTGATACTATTAAAACTCCTAGTGCAGGGTATTTTACAACAAGGAAGAGATTTTTCCCCCCTAAAACTTAACATAAGGAAGATAATTCATACAGCACCTACAGTCATGAACTGTCAAATCTATCAGTAGCAAAATGGAAACCACTCAATATTGCCAAACACTCCAGCTATTCATAGTTTCATAGTTTCATAGATTTAGGGTCGGAAGGGACCTAGTAGATCTTCTAGCCCGACCCCCCGCCAGGGCGGGAGAACAACAAAACCCCAAAACAAAAACAGGACTCAAATGAGTCCAGCCAGGTAGGCATCCAGCCTCTTCTTAAAGACCCCCAGGGTAGGGGCCAGCACCACTTCCCTTGGAAGTTGGTTCCAGCTCCTAGCCGCCCTAACTGTGAAGTAGTT